TGTTTTTATTTATATTAATAATATTAAAGCTTAAAGATTTAAATTTTTTAATTCGGTTTTAAGCGTTTTTATTAAACAAAGCTTATAATTAAGCAAATATTTATTTAATATATTAATTATAATATATTTATAATAATTTTAAATAAAAGCTTTAAAATACGTTTAATTATTAATAAATAATACTTATGTTTTAATTATATTTAATTTATTATATTAATAATATAACATTTGTTTTATTTTTTATTATTATAATTATAAATATAATTATAAATATGTTTTAAATTTTTATTAAAAAATATAGTTATTTAGCTAATAAAGCTAATTAGTTAGCTATTATATAAATTAAAAAAAAATAATGCTTAAAAAAGTTAGTTATATTATATTATAATATTATTTTAATATAATAAAGTTTATATATAATTTTTACTTCGTTATTTAATACATAATAAAACTTAAAAAAAGGGCAAGCTAATATACGCTATTAAAACATAGGTTTAATTATATTATTTAGCTTTTAATAATATTTTTAATATAGCGCTTTAAAAAACATTAACTTTTGTTTATTTTTTGTTTTTATTAATATTAAATATAATAAATAATATAATTATTTGCTTTATTTATGCTATTAAGCTTTTATTTTATATTAATCTTTAGCTTTATTTAAAAGTATATTATTACTTTTAATTGTTATATTAATAATTTAGCTTTTTTTATTAGTTATAACTTTTTATATTAATTATAACTTTATATATTAGTTATAATTTTTTTTTTTTTAATTATACTTTTTTTTTTATTTGTTCTTTTTTTAATAATAAGTTATAAATTAAAACATTTTTAAAAGCTTTATATAAATTAAATTAATATATTTTAATAGCTTTAAATATTTTTAAACTTTTAGCTATATATTTTTTAAAAACTTTATAAATTTTAACTATTTAAAAGAACTTAATTTTTTTTTAAAAATTACTTTTTTAATTATATTAATTAGTTAATAAATAGTTTATAATATAAATAATAACGCAGATAAAAAAAGCATAAACGTTTTATATGCCGTTTTTAAACTATATATATATTAAAGTATACTAGCTTTTATTAAAATAAACCTTATTTTAATAAAATTTATTAATAACTTATATAAAAAAGAAATAGCTTTTAAAAATAAAAAAATTATTTATATTATTTATATAAGCAAGCAGTTTTAATTAATAAATAATAAAGTATTACTTATTTTTAAACTAAATATTATAAGTATATTTTTTTAAAGTTATTAAAAAATTATTTATAAAAATTAAAAATTATTATAATAAGCTTAAAAACTATATAATAATAAGCTTTTTATAATAAGATTTTATTTAATATTATATTATTTTAAACTTTAATATAAAAAACATAAGTTTATAAACGTTATTATTTATACTTTAATAAAAAACTACTTATAGTTTTTTAATAATAATAGCGCTAGCGCTTATAATGTTTATATAAGCTTGCTGCTTTTATAAGCGTTAAAACTTTTAATAGTTTTTATTAAAGCGTTATATTTTTTATTTAACTTTTAAAACTTTAAAATTTTAAAATAAACTAGCTAATATTAAATTAAATATTATTTTAAAACTAATATTACTTTTATTAAAAATTGTTTAAATTAAGCTAAAAAATATTAATTTTTAATAGTTTTATTATTTATAGCAATATTATTACGGACTAGTTCTATTTAAAATAAAAAGCAATAATAATAATTATTTAATGCTTTTATAAACGTTATATTTTATTAATATATTATAAGTAATATATTTAAATATAAAAAATAGCTTTTATTATAATTAAAGCTAAATAAAATAAAATAAGCTAATATTTTAAATAGTAAATAAATGTTTAAACTATTTTTTTTTTAATAAAAAAAAAATATGCTATATTAAAAAAAGTAAGTTATTAAGCTTAATTAAATTAAAATAAAACTATTAATAAAAAACGGACTAAAAATAAAACAAATAATTAGTTAATATTATTATATTAAAAATATAAAAGCTTATTTTATATTATTTATAACTAATTGCTTTTTATTATAATATAATTAAAAAGTAGTTTTTTTTGTTTTATACGATTTTAAATCTATTTAATAAGCTTATTTTTTGTTTATTTTTTTTTATATATTATTTCTTGCTTTAAAAAATAAAATATAAATAAAAAGATTTATTTATTTTAATTTAAAATATGCTAAACAAAAAAAAAAAATATTATAATAAATATATTAAAAAGCATAGCTTTAATAAATTAAATTTAAATATTATAAAATTATTTATTATTATAATATATAATTTAAAACAAAAATATATAAAAGCTAATTTTATATATAAGTTAAATATAAATATTATTATTTAAAATAATTTTAAGCTTTTTTATATTTTATTTATTAAATATTTATTATATATTATATTATATAAAAAATATAACTATAAAATTGTTATAATATTTAAATTAGTAAAATATTTTAATTAAAATAGCTTTAATTTAATATTTAATTTTAATTATAGCTTATATATATTAATATTTAAATTAGTATTTATAAATAATATTTATTATAATTATTATATTTAAAAGCTTAAAAAAATTTATACTTATATATTATTTATATTTTTAAAGCACGCTTTTTAAAACGTAATAAATAATAATAGCATAAATATTTAAAGATTTAAAAAAAAAAGTTTTTTAGCTACTTATTTTATATATATATAAAACTAATTTAAATTATTTAATATTAAGCTTTAAATTAAACTTAAAAAATATAATATTAAAATTAGCTTAAAATATATAATTTAAAAATAATAAATAAAATTAAAAAAAATATTAAAAAGTTTATATTTTAATTATATTATTTTTTATTTATAAAATAACTTTAAGTTTGCTTAATTTTATTAAAAAAATTTACTATAAAAATAGCAATATAAATATAATATAAAGCTTAATAAGCTTAATAAGCTTTATTAATGTTTAAAATATAATACTTAATATAATTTATAATAAACGTTAAAGCTATATTTAAATGCTTTTTATAAAAAACTATTGCTATTTTTTTATAATTAAAAAAACTATAATAAAAAGTTTAGCTTTAAATTTATGTTTTATATTTATATTTAATATAATTATTTTAAACAAAATAAAAATTATAAATATAATAAATATAACAAGAATTTTTTTTTTATAATTAATTTATATTTATATATTTATATAACTTATTAAAACTTTTATTAATATAATTATAAAAACTATTTATTTATATTTAATATTTAAAAACGATTTATTTAATATATTTAAAAAGTTTATAAAGCTAAAGTTTATTTATATAATTATAAAAGCTATTTATTTATATTTTATATTTAAAGTTAATTTATTTAATATATTTAAAAAGTTTATAAAGCTAAGGTTTATTTATATAATTATAAAAGCTATTTATTTATATTTAATATTAAAAGTTTATTTGCTTAATATATTTAAAAAGTTTATAAAGCTAAAGTTTATTTATATAATTATAAAAGCTGTTTATTTATATTTTATATTTAAAATTAACTTATTTAATATATTTAAAAAGTTTATAAAACTAAAGTTTATTTATATAATTATAAAAGTTATTTATTTATATTTAATATTTAAAGTTAATTTATTTAATATATTTAAAAAGTTTATATAACTAAAGTTTATTTATATAATTATAAAAGCTGTTTATTTATATTTTATATTTAAAATTAATTTGTTTAATATATTTAATAAGTTTATAAAGCTAAAATTTATTTATATAATTATTATTTATTTATATTTTATATTAAAAAATAACTTATTAAATATATTTAATAGGTTTATTATAACGGAATATTTTTTAAAAATTAAAAATATAAAAGCATAAGCTTTTAATTTGTACGTATATATTAGCTAAAAAATTTTTACTATATAAATAAAACTTTTCCTTTTTTATATAATAATAATAAATTAATACTAAAACTATTAACTATATAAATTATAATACTTTTTTATAATTTATAAAGCAATATTTATTAAAACATATATATATATATGCTTTTTTAAGCTTTTAAAACATTGTTTTATAAGTGCAGATATGTATAAAAATAGCAATTCAAGCCTCCAGCAGTAAAGCTCCTTTTATCCTGCAGCTTAGCTAGTAGATAGGGGTCGACTTCATGTAGTTCCTTGCGATATTTGATCGTAGCCCAGTGACCGTTGATTAGTATATCCCGCTTTTGGACAACATGTTTCCCGTCTTCTGTGAGTGTGTCTCCCTCGTCAGACTCAAATCCTGAGTCAGAGTCCAAGGGATTGTCAGCTCTAGAGGATGAATGTAATGAGGAAGAGTCTGAAGCAGTTCCGAACATAATATGTCGTGCTTCAGACAACCCCCGTTGCATGCTCAAGTTCAACTCATTCCCACGCTTGGTGAGGCTCTGAACTTCTTCTTCGTTCACTCCAATTCGTAACTGCGAAAGTAACTCGGCGGTACGAGCCTTTTCCTTCTCCTTTGAGTTGCTTGGGTCGCGGGGCGTCTCTGTTCTTGAACCCTTGCACATTGTGGTATTTCTCGGATCTTCTGTCTCTCTGTCTGTAATTCTTAGTGTAATAGTATTTGGCCGTGGACTTTGATGGCAATCTTGCTCGAGTATTAATAATTAATTTATCAACACAAAGTGTTTCAAGCTCATATTGTGTCACAAAACACTTATCTAGTTTTTGTCTTATGAATTCCAGCTCCTTGAACAATGCTTTGTGTTTATTTAGGTCGGACAAAGAGGCTCTTTGTGCGATCACAAAAGATAACAACAGCCCAGTCTCGAAGTATAATGAGGGCATTTGTTATTCATGTGTTTTCATATCTTCAACGAGTCTGAACTCAGTAGCTATCTAGATAACTACTAGGTATCTCGTCGTTACCCACAAACTCCACTGGGCCCTAGTTTCCGGTACACATAGCCCCCATTACAGCTCAAATTTACTCATCTCGATTGGTCTAGTGGTCAGGATACCTGCTTGTCATTGTCACTCAGCTAGATCTCACGATAGTGGGACAGAGCAATTACGACAACAAGCCGCAGGTGGCCGGGGTTCGATTCCCCGATCGAGAGTCTTCATTTTTGGTTCGTCTAGTCTATGGATATTATGTTCATCTTCTTGAGAACCCAGTGTTTTTGCACGGAGAAACACTCACTCCCCTGCTGTTTAGCTTGAAAATAATCTACTTATCCGACGTGAATGATCGTTGACCACTAACAAATAGCAAGAGAGGTGGGGTTGATGTGTAAGGTCTAGTTCATGTCTTCGACCATCAGAAGTGAATATAATCTTTGGTACTCTCGAGGTAGCATATTCGTATACGATTGCCATAGATAAAGTAGGAATCATCAACTGCCATCTACATAGAACAAGTAATGTCTCGGTCGAGAACACACACGGCATTCATACTAAAGTCTTTGTGTATAATGCTGTTTCATGCTTTTCGCTCTTAGCTTACTTAGCCTGTGCTCCGATCGACGGAAGTAAATATCAAGTCATCAGGGAGCAGCTCAAGTACAATGGCTGAGTGACAGGGAGCATCCCAATAACGCGACCCGAAAAGGTATGACAATGGGCAGACGCAAGCTCATGAACCAAGTCTTTAACCAATCCTTCTATTCTCTGAACTCCTTTTCCCATTCCTTTGAGCCTAGGGCAATACCGACCTTTACCGGATGATCATGTCCTCACGGTCTTTTCCAGTACCGATGTAACCCACCTATGCATGTCAGTAAATGCGAAAGTGAATGGAAGGCTGCGGGTGTACCTTGATGCCAAGCTCTGACTCGATGAGCTCGATGTATTTCTGTGCTTGTGGTGGTAAATCGGACCATTTCCGCAGTCCTTGCGTAGAGCTTTGCCAGCCTTCAAAATCAATGTACTCAGGCGTGCATTTCGCGAGCTAGGGAATACATGAGCTTTTAGAAAATTGATTATAGGGTACCAACACTTACAAAATTCAAGTCAGCAGGGAAGCTAGTGATCTTCTTTCCATCTGGCGTGATATATGCCACAGCGACCCGAATGGTTGGGAAAGTATCGAGCACATCAACTAAATATCTTAGTAAGCCCTTTTCTTCATACCATAAGCTACGATTTAAATTCTCTTACGCTTGGTTAAGTTGAGGGTGGTATAGTCTACGAAAGGTATGTTAGCATGAAGATACCGGTGATATTCCGCAACGTTAGACTGCTTACAATTGACAGCAGCGGAGTGTTTGAGAACCACAAGGTCGAGCCAGCCGCATCTCCTCCTTCTTCCTGTAGAGACGCCCTACGAAGATTTAGTCTTGGTCTACATGATATAGAGAGGCATTCAGGGTCGACTTACAATCTCTCCCCCGATGTCCTGTAATTTCGTGCCTATCTCTCCGTGTTCTTCTGTGGGGAAAGGACCGCCACCAACCCTGGTTGTCTACCAAGTCCGCTGGCTTAGAATGATTCAGGCAAGATTGAGCATGTCTTAATCGAACTTACATATGCCTTGACAACGCCAATTATGTCCCTATGAGGATTAGGTAAGCTTTATAACGCTAAGAATGCATCAAGACACCGGGGATGCTGTCTGCTTCGGTGGGGCGGCCGTGAAAGAGAATGTGCTTACTTGATATTGAAGGGGCTGATCGCCAGACCCTGAATGCACCCGCCAACTGAGCAATTCGACGAAGTAACGAACGGATAGCTGCCGTAGTCGAGATCGAGCACTGTAGCCAGTTAGTTAGATATTTTCTGGTAAGTAGGTATTGACATACTCAAAGCCTGGGAACCCTCGATGAGTATCGAGCGCTTTTGTTCTTGTGCAACCTTCATGTACTCTACAGCATCAACAACGTATGGTCGTAGCTTTTCCCTGATGTTCACAAATTTCTGGATCTCTTCCTCAACATCGTATTTGAGAAGATCGCCATATCGCGCACGATAGCCCTCTTCCATGGTGCGTAGTTTATCTGCAAAGTCATCATAGTAGATGTCGTCGATCCTCAAACCATCTCTAGCAGCTTTCGTGCTGTAGGATGGGCCGATACCTCGCTTTGTAGTTCCAATCTGACTCTTCCCAAGCGCCTGTTCAGAGAGCCCATCGATGGCGGCATGCAAGGTAAGATTTAAGTGGCACCGCGAACTGACGTGAATACGCTTATGGATGTCCGGTACACCCTTTGCGTCAAGGTCGGCTAGCTCTCCAAAGAAGGCATCGACATTGAAAACAACACCCGATCCAATGAGGTTGTCAGTTTTCGCGCTGACCAAACCAGACGGCAAAAGATGAAAGGAGAACTTCTGAGTTCCCGTGCTATAAATGAATTGTGGTTAGCAGAGATCTGTCTAAACATGCTGCTGATATCACATTGCCCGTACTGGATCGAATGGCCGGCATTGTGGCCACCTGCTGCACGTGCGCAGATATCAAATGAGTTGGTTGCCAGAAGATTGTCTGTCAATTTGCCCTTCTGTATAACAAACAGTCAATATCATACCTCACAGAAAGACGGGACCAAACTGGGCGTAAGCGTCAACGTACGCCTTCGTCTCCTGTACACAAATTTAGTTATTTCCAGATCTAGTTTGTAAGTGACGTGCCGGCTTCAGTGGTCCTATCAGCTCAACTGCCCCTCCATGTCTGGACCCCGTATGCGGCCAACATTGAAAGCAAATGTAAGTTTGGATAGTGAGAGAGCACTCACCCCACTGGGAGCCGAGAATGATTGAAGCCATGGCGGTTGAATAAATGATTCACTGTCGCCAAATCTCCGTAGTAGAATGCGATTTGTGACTGTAAACAGCCAAAGAAAAGCCTCAAAAAAGAAATGACGAACAATTTCAAGACTAGCCGGCCAACGGAGACGCAGCGCGGGTACGGAACACTTTGATGGTGGAGTGGGGCACTTGGAAGGACTGGTGATGTTACTTCAGCCGAGGGAAAAAGAAGCCCTATTATTTATAGTGGCCGAATGTCCAATGGCAGACCTTGTTTTGGCTAAACTAGGTAAGCAGGTAACACCCTAGCGCCGTTCCCCGGTGACTGACTGACCCGGGTTACTCATGTCCCTTATTCTGACCCCTCCAAGCCCCGCCAAAACCCCTCCAAATTCCAGCACTTACAGACGTAATACCTACCATCCGATATCCGAGATTGGCCACAAATTGTGACGATGGAAGGGAATCAGGTGAGGCACCATCAAACAACGGGCGTAGAAATACAAAGGTTTCACATAAACTCTCACCGCTATTCCCCCTCTTGATGCCGTCCTCTCCGAAGAGTGCTACAGAGTTGTAATAGTAATGGTCTAAGCACGTTTGCTCTTTACGCATAAAGTTTCTTGAATTGAGGACTACCAAAATAAATAACACCTATGATGAGATAGGTAGTACAAGTTCGAGTGCCAGGTAGGTTTGCTGCGATCACGTGCTAGACTGCAAACCTTTGCTGCCCCTCTCTCTAACACCCTTATCAGCTACTATGTAGATACATAAATAGATGGTGGGGTATTGGGATCCAAAGATCCGAAGCCTCACGCAGTAAGAAGGACATCGTTAGCTCTGATAAACCACAAAAAACCCTCGAGAGCTTTGTTTGTGTCTCGACTGTCAAAATGAGACTCAAGGATGTCTATCGGCTGGAATTGCCGCCAACTGCGGACATGCATGTCCACTTGCGGCAGGGCGAGGTTTGTGTCTATTCGGTTTTTTGACTGGACTAATATGAACTGACTTATCCAGGTTATGAACCTCGTGGTCCCTTACATTCTGAGAGGAGGTGTAGACACCGTGTTTGTCATGGTAAGTAAAAGAAAGAATGCACATACAATAAATTCACTTCAATAACAGTCAGACTGACTGTTGCTAATAGCCAAACTTACAACCGCCCATTACAAGTGTGGCTGCTGCTCTAGAGTACAAATCTCGTCTGCAAGCCATCGAACCTCAAGTCAATTATCTAATGTCTCTCTATGTGCGTCATTCATGGAATAATTAAGGGTATAGTGTTAACAATAATTAGCTTCATCCCTCTGTTACTCCTGATGTAATTGCTGAGGCTGCAAAGGCCGGTATTGCAGGGGTCAAATTATATCCTCAAGGTTCGCAGCAATCCGCAACAATTGGAGCCTATTTTACTAAGAGTTAGGTGTGACTACAAACTCGGAATCAGGCGTCGCCGGCGACTTTGTTGAGGCCTACGCGCCTACATTTGCAGCAATGGAGGAGCACGATATTGTGCTGAACTTACACGGAGAGGTGCCGGGGACTGTACCCACAGACAATATCTCGCTTGAAGAGCTATTTCTGCCTACTTTGAAAAGGCTAAACGAGAGATATCCGAAACTTCGCATTGTTCTCGAGGTAGATATTGACCCTGAGTAAATTTTGCGGTACAATTAATTCTAACATTAGACGTTTAGCATTGCTCTACCGCAGCAGCTATAGATGCTGTACGGTCCTGTAGCCCAATGGTCGCCGGTAAGCTTGGCACAAGTTCCTTGATTCCCAATCTTACAACCATCTTCATACTGGCAAAACACTAAAACGTACGCTTAGGTACGATAACTGCGCATCACCTGTACTTAACAGGTGACATGAGTGAGGTCGACCCTCACGCCTTTTGCAAGCCGATCCCCAAGACACCCTCGGATCGAGATGCTCTCCTGAAAGCTGTTTGCAGTGGCGACCCTAAGTTCTTCTTGTCAGTCACACCGGTTTCTTGCACTCACGTTGCTTTGATCTAACTTGGCCTTTCTTCAGTGGAAGCGATAGCGCGCCTCATCCGTTAGTAACCAAGCAAGGCAAAACTGTCCCGGCGGGTGTATTCACACAGCCGTATGCCACACAGCTAGTTCTCCTAGCCCTCGAGGAAGCAACTGAGAAGAGGATAATCGACGAGAAGGATGTTACGCAGGAGAGCATCGAGGGATTCTTGAGTCTGTTCGGCAGACGTTTCTATAAGCTCCCTGAGCCTTTACCTTCAGGGCCGCGAATCGTAGCGAAGAGAGCTGGTCAAACGATACCAGCAAGCATAAAGGATGCTGATGGAACCCTCGAAATTGGAATCTCGAGATCTGGCGCTTCCGTGTTCAGC